TAGTCGTAGTAACTTACGTTACTAATTAGTATAGTCTACGACGTAATTAGTACTACACACACACACACACACACACACACACACACACACACACACACACACACACACACACACACACACACACACACGAGACACACACACACACACACACACACACACACACACACACACACACACACACACACATTATTATGACTACCAAATATTCCCCATGTTTTAACCTTTTAAATGTTTGTTTATTTCTTCAGTTCGCCATCGTGTTCAAAACTCCGAAGTATCGTGACCAGAATCTCCAGAAACCCACGTCGGTGTTCGTTCAGCTGAAGAGAAAATCTGACAACGAGACCAGCGAACCCAAACCCTTCACCTACCACCCCCAGATCATAGGTCACCATCATAACAATAACAATGAATACAAATAATGTTAATAAGAATAATAATTTAAAAACGATATATAGTACAAAAACCAAATAATAATAACAACAATACTCACCTGCTCTCGTGTCTGTGTTTTCAGATAAAGAGGAAGTGCAGAGGAAGAGACAGAAGACGTTGCCCAACTTCCACGACCTCAGTGGGGGGGGAGGAGGTCTGTACCGAGGAGGAGGAACAGGAGGAGGAGGAGGAACAGGAGGAGGAACAGGAGGAGGAACAGGAGGAGGTACAATTATGGAGCCGGAATATTATACAAAATAAAGTGTGAAATGTACAAAAAAAGATCTCAAATATAAAAAGTTGCAAATTATTTGAGATTCAAGTTTTTCAAACATTTTTGGGGGGAAAAAAACTTGATGGTTAAAATACTAGAGAAACCTTCAATATAAAAAAAACATTAGATATTTTTTGCAGACTCGCTGTTTGAGGGATTGATTGCCCACTCGCCCTCCACACTCGTTGGTTTGGAACAGCCCTTAATGTGGCGGACCCTCCGAACGCGCAAACGGAGGGGTAGTGTGTAGGGGTAGTGTGTAGGGGTAGTGTGTAGGTGTAGTGTGTAGGTGTAGTGTGTAGGTGTAGTGTGTAGGGGTAGTGTGTAGCTGTAGTGTGTAGGGGTAGTGTGTAGGGGTAGTGTGTAGGGGTAGTGTGTAGGGGGCGGTTTGGAATTGGGCCTCAATGTTCTGTG